CAGACTATAGTCTATAGATCTGAATATAGTCGTCTATATTCCATACTATAGCCTATAGTTCATACTATAGTTTACAGTCCATACTGTAGTCTATAGTTCAGTCTGTTGTCTATAGCGTAGACTGTATTACATAGTCCAGACTATAGTCTATAGTTCAGAATATAGTATATTGTCCAGACATTACTCTATTGTCCAGACTATATTCTATAATCCAGTTCTATTCCATAATCCAGGACTATATCTTTAGTATAGACTAGAATCTATAGTTAGACTATAGTCCATAGTCTAAAATACAAATAGTCATAGTCCAGTCTATAGTCCAGTCTATAGTCTAATCTATGGTCTAGTCTATAGTCTAGTCTAGCTATAGTCTAGTCTATAGTCTAGTTCTATAGTCTAGTTCAATAGTCAGTCTAGTCTAGTCTATAGTCTAGTCTTATAGTCTAGTCTATAGTCTAATCTATGGTAGTCTAGTCTAGTCTAGTCTATGTCAGTCTATAGTCTAGTCTACAGTCTAGTCTATAGTCTAGTCTATAGTCTAGTCTATCGTCATAGTAGGTCTAGTATAGTCTAGTCTATAGTCTCGTCTATAGTCTAGTCTATTAGTCTAGTCTATAGTCTTCGTCATAGTCTAGTCTATAGTCTCAGTCTATAGTCTAGTCTATAGTCTAGTCTATAGTCTAGTCTATAGTCTAGTCTATAGTCTAGTCTATAGTCTAGTCTATAGTCTAGTCTATAGTCTAGTCTATAGTCTAGTCTATAGTCTAGTCTATAGTCTAGTCTATAGTCTAGTCTATAGTCTAGTCTATAGTCTAGTCTATAGTCTAGTCTATAGTCTAGTCTATAGTCTAGTCTATAGTCTAGTCTATAGTCTAGTCTATAGTCTAGTCTATAGTCTAGTCTATAGTCTAGTCTATAGTCTAGTCTAAAGTCTAGTCTATAGTCTAGTCTATAGTCTAGTCTATAGTCTAGTCTATAGTCTAGTCTATAGTCTAGTCTATAGTCTAGTCTATAGTCTAGTCTATAGTCTAGTCTATAGTCTAGTCTATAGTCTAGTCTATAGTCTAGTCTATAGTCTAGTCTATAGTCTAGTCTATAGTCTAGTCTATAGTCTAGTCTATAGTCTAGTCTATAGTCTAGTCTATAGTCTAGTCTATAGTCTAGTCTATAGTCTAGTCTATAGTCTAGTCTATAGTCTAGTCTATAGTCTAGTCTATAGTCTAGTCTATAGTCTAGTCTATAGTCTAGTCTATAGTCTAGTCTATAGTCTAGTCTATAGTCTAGTCTATAGTCTAGTCTATAGTCTAGTCTATAGTCTAGTCTATAGTCTAGTCTATAGTCTAGTCTATAGTCTAGTCTATAGTCTAGTCTATAGTCTAGTCTATAGTCTAGTCTATAGTCTAGTCTGTAGTCTAGTCTATAGTCTAGTCTATAGTCTAGTCTATAGTCTAGTCTATAGTCTAGTCTATTGTCTAGTCTATAGTCTAGTCTATAGTCTAGTCTATAGTCTAGTCTATAGTCTAGTCTATAGTCTAGTCTATAGTCTAGTCTATAGTCTAGTCTATAGTCTAGTCTATAGTCTAGTCTATAGTCTAGTCTATAGTCTAGTCTATAGTCTAGTCTATAGTCTAGTCTATAGTCTAATCTATAGTCTAGTCTATAGTCTAGTCTATAGTCTAGTCTATAGTCTAGTCTATAGTCTAGTCTATAGTCTAGTCTATAGTCTAGTCTATAGTCTAGTCTATAGTCTAGTCTATAGTCTAGTCTATAGTCTAGTCTATAGTCTAGTCTATAGTCTAGTCTATAGTCTAGTCTATAGTCTAGTCTATAGTCTAGTCTATAGTCTAGTCTATAGTCTAGTCTATAGTCTAGTCTATAGTCTAGTCTATAGTCTAGTCTATAGTCTAGTCTATAGTCTAGTCTATAGTCTAGTCTATAGTCTAGTCTATACTCTAGTCTATAGTCTAGTCTATAGTCTAGTCTATAGTCTAGTCTATAGTCTAGTCTATAGTCTAGTCTATAGTCTAGTCTATAGTCTAGTCTATAGTCTAGTCTATAGTCTAGTCTATAGTCTAGTCTATAGTCTAGTCTATAGTCTAGTCTATAGTATAGTCTAGTCTATAGTCTAGTCTATAGTCTAGTCTATAGTCTAGTCTATAGTCTAGTCTATAGTCTAGTCTATAGTCTAGTCTAGTCTATAGTCTAGTCTATAGTCTAGTCTATAGTCTAGTCTATAGTCTAGTCTATAGTCTAGTCTATAGTCTAGTCTATAGTCTAGTCTATAGTCTAGTCTATAGTCTAGTCTATAGTCTAGTCTATAGTCTAGTCTATAGTCTAGTCTATAGTCTAGTCTATAGTCTAGTCTATAGTCTAGTCTATAGTCTAGTCTATAGTCTAGTCTATAGTCTAGTCTATAGTCTAGTCTATAGTCTAGTCTATAGTCTAGTCTATAGTCTAGTCTAGTCTAGTCTATAGTCTAGTCTATAGTCTAGTCTATAGTCTAGTCTATAGTCTAGTCTATAGTCTAGTCTATAGTCTAGTCTATAGTCTAGTCTATAGTCTAGTCTATAGTCTAGTCTATAGTCTAGTCTATAGTCTAGTCTATAGTCTAGTCTATAGTCTAGTCTATAGTCTAGTCTATAGTCTAGTCTATAGTCTAGTCTATAGTCTAGTCTATAGTCTAGTCTATAGTCTAGTCTATAGTCTAGTCTATAGTCTAGTCTATAGTCTAGTCTATAGTCTAGTCTATAGTCTAGTCTATAGTCTAGTCTATAGTCTAGTCTAGTCTATAGTCTAGTCTATAGTCTAGTCTATAGTCTAGTCTATAGTCTAGTCTATAGTCTAGTCTATAGTCTAGTCTATAGTCTAGTCTATAGTCTAGTCTATAGTCTAGTCTATAGTCTAGTCTATAGTCTAGTCTATAGTCTAGTCTATAATCTAGTCTATAGTCTAGTCTATAGTCTAGTCTATAGTCTAGTCTATAGTCTAGTCTATAGTCTAGTCTATAGTCTAGTCTATAGTCTAGTCTATAGTCTAGTCTATAGTCTAGTCTATAGTCTAGTCTATAGTCTAGTCTATAGTCTAGTCTATAGTCTAGTCTATAGTCTAGTCTATAGTCTAGTCTATAGTCTAGTCTATAGTCTATAGTCTAGTCTATAGTCTAGTCTATAGTCTAGTCTATAGTCTAGTCTATAGTCTAGTCTATAGTCTAGTCTATAGTCTAGTCTATAGTCTAGTCTATAGTCTAGTCTATAGTCTAGTCTATAGTCTAGTCTATATCTAGTCTATAGTCTAGTCTATAGTCTAGTCTAATCTAGTCTAGTCTATAGTCTAGTCTATAGTCTAGTCTATAGTCTAGTCTATAGTCTAGTCTATAGTCTAGTCTATAGTCTAGTCTGTAGTCTTGTCTATAGTCTAGTCTATAGTCTAGTCTATAGTCTAGTCTATAGTCTATGTATGTATGGTCCAGAGTAAAAACTGTAGTCCAATCTATAAATTAGCTCTTATCCAGCTGTTTAACTTCCACACAGTACATGAATTCTTATTTGTATGAATATTGATGGTATGGCTGAACCGGCTGATGGTTTGATGTTTGGTCTGGCGAGGAGAGGAAAATTAATAAAAATAAATTGAGTTGTCAAAAATGATATTCGAAATAAATTCCTCGGTGAGTAATCGTTTTGAGCGCCAAGCTTTAGTAACACAAAAAAAAAACACAAACAAATTCTATAAGTATAATAAATAAATATCATGACCACCCAAAAACAGAATAAAAAAACACCCAAACATTTTTACAAACACACATACATATGAACATACATACGATGAGAGTAAAATACTCGTAACAAATATTTATGTATGAAATTTCTTTAATACTGCTAAATGTAAATGCCTGACGATGAAAATCCAATTTCATTTTTCTTCCCAAACCTTTACCGTATACATAACTAAGATGCCATCTCATTTCCACTTATAACTAAGAGTAGGTGGGTTATGGAACCAACACATACATACAAATAAGAAAAAATCTTAATATTCTTTTTATTTTAAGTTTCTCAGGCGGAAGCAAGGGAAAACCCTAAAATAACTGTAATAAAATAAAGTATCAAGCAGTTTTAACAAACAAACGACTCTGAAGTAGTGGTAGGAAAAAAAGGGGGTGGAGGAGGTGATAACAAGAACCTAAGGAAAACAAAGGCAAGAGAGTATAACACACATATACAGACAGCTATAAAAGAGGCCATTGTCGTAAGCTGTAGATACAATCATATGTATATGTATGAATATCCGTATCCTTTGGAGCTCTACAGCTACAAACAACTTCACCTTCAACATTATTAAGTTGTAGAACAACAACAACGAGAATAATGAAAGTGAAGCAGAAGATGTTAACGAGGAAAGAAGAGCAAAAATTGAATTTTCCAACGAAACGTGAAGAAAATTCACACAAAATGAGAAAATTGTCTTTTAATGAAGACCCATAACAGAGTTAAAAATACACAATACTATAGAATAAAAGGAAAGGAGATGGAAGAAGGAGATAAAGATAAAGGTGGAGGAATAGGATAAAACAATAAAACAACTGCAACAAAATCTATTAAATTAAATCTATCACTTAATGGAATCAACCAGCAGAGTATGAGTGTAAGAGAGATAGAGAGAAAGAGAGAGAGAGAGAGAGAGAAAAGAAACCTGTTAAAACATGAATAAACAAAACAAAACCAAATGGATTCTGCGCCTTAACACAAAAATACAGGGAAATTTCTCTCAGTGAAATAAAGATTTACTCTAAAACAGGGCGGTCTTTTAGGTTTAAACCCTCGTTTGCACAAACAAAAACCCTCATAGACGCCATTTGTATGAGAAGTCTAGACAAAAAAATGGTGAGAGATGTGTTTAGTGGATGGATGGATGTTTGGATTTTTATCACTTGAAATTTTTGTGTGATATTTGTTGATGCAAAATAAACCGTTAGATCATTCGCTATTTAGCATTACAACTCAACGGTCGTGTGTAATTCTTGTGAAATTAATTCAAAAATAAAAACAACAAAAAATAACAAAAATATCAAACAAAATTAAAGCATTTTAACGGTAATAAATCCTGTTATAAATGAAACGTCAAATCAAGTGACAGCTTAAAGCAGAAATTAATAAAAACAGCAAAACAAAAACAAAATAATAATTGTAAATTAATTAAGACCTAAATTAGTGTAATCAAATAAAAAAACTTCTTAAACATAAATAATTAAAGTGTTTTTCTCAAGTTAAAAAAAAAAAACATACAATTTTTTTTAAAAATAACAAATTTTTTTAAAAATATCAAAAAAATTCAATTCTAAACACACAATTACTTACACCTGTTTAATTTCCTGTACACACATGCCGCAACAACATTTTTAAGGATAATTAACTTGGGAAATTGTGTTTAAAGTTTTGTTCAAATCTTTGACGTTTATTTTTATACGGTTATTTAAACTTTCTAAAGTTTAACTTATTTTTTTGCAAAGTTTAAGGAGTTTTTATCATTACATATCACTCCTTTAAGCTTATTAAGTGTGTGTGTGTGTGTTTAGTTGTAAAATAAAAGTAATCAAAAGTTTCTTCTATTCTTAACGCACGTGAGGCAGAGTTTCTTTAGGAAACTCGCCCAAACAATTGCTGCCAAAATTTTCACAGACGGGAATAAGGTAAATGAAAAACGTTTTATATTTTAGAAAAAAAAACTTTTGCTAAACTAAGCTTTTTAAGTTTAAAGGAAAATTCGAAAAAAAAAATTGTTAAAGGCATAATAGTAAAATGATTAAACTACTCACTTTGTCATGCTGACATTTCAAGGAAGGCATGAACAAGTAAGCAAATAAGCATAGCGAAGGAATAACAGTGAGCTTTTAAAACAATAAAAGAAATTTGGACATTATCTTAAGAGATACATATCTCTTAAGATAACTTCTAATTAACTGTATGATATAAAAGAGATTTCAATAGAAGAAGTCATATAATTCTCATTTAGTTAAGAATGTATTAGCTATAAGTAGAAAGAAGAAGATTTCAAAATAGTTAAAACTTTATTTTGAAGTCAATAGATTAGACTTTCAGATGACATAACAGATTTTGTAAGCAATTATATCTCCGAGCTGTTATAGCGTCTCAAATATGTAAAAAACGGAGGGTTTTTTAAACTTCATGACAAGATAACTGAAAAATCCAATATGATGGAAAAATTCTGAGGTCGGATTTGTATTTCAAACAGAAATTGAGTTCAAAACTAAAAAAAAAAATTTTGAATGTAGTTCTTTACCAATTCAAAATTGATTTGGCGAATTTTTATACCCTACACCACTTTAGTGAAGAGCGTATATCGTGCTGATGTTTGTAACGCACAATAATATTGATCCTATACACACCTTAAAGTATACCAATCGGCTTAGAATTACTTTCTGAGTCGATTTAGATATGTCCGTCTGTCCGTTCGTCCATGTAAACCATGTAATCAAACTACACGTCGCACTTTTGAAGATAATTCAATGACATTTGATACATGATCTTCTATTGTCTCAGTGACGAAGCCTGTTGAAAATGGTTATGATCGGTCCACTACCCCATACAAGTGAACCCCCGAAAAGGACTTCTAAACCTTGCAATCAAAGCACAGGTTGAAATTTTGCACACGATCTTCTATTGTACTAAAGAATAAAAATTCCTATTGAAAGTGTGTAACAAAACCAAGACAAAAAGCTGCAAAACCAAGTTCTATACTAGCCTTCATGATTCGTGATAAATTTTTTATGATAGGGCCCTATCCCTATACAAAGCCCCCTTCGAAATATGACTTAAATGTACACAATTTTATTAAAAAAATGGCTAACTGGTATAGTTGGGCCTCGCCCGACTATAACTTCTTACTTGTTTCTTCATAACAATTTGAAATTAGCGTTTTTTGATAAATAATTTGGAACATATACGTATTTGCGAAACCTAGTCAAAATTTATACTATCTTGTTTTGACAGGTTCAAGTTAATCGAATCAAGAGTTGTGAGAGCGAGAAAAAAATTTACCAGTTTCTCTTGATTCAATTAATTTTTTCAAAGTATGTCATGTCAAAACGAGAAAGTATCAAAATGGATTCAGTGCTAGTATACATCTATTCAGACATTGAAATTCAAGTACTTTTTCAGCACTTTTTGATAAGAAAATGTACCGCGGTACAACCTCAACAATTTTGTTACTTTCTCTAACATATAAACTTATGATAAGTAATACAGGCCGACAAAATGTGACTCCAAGTAAAGGATTGAGCTTTTCCTCAGATTATACATATGTATGTATCTTCTTTCTTCTTCGAGATATCTTCACCTAAAGCTTGATACAACAGTAAATTGACAAAAACTTAATATTTTCGAACATTTCTCCTTTATTTTACAAAAAAAATTATATACTCCAATTTTTCAATAAAAATACTTTTTGAATTGTTTAAAAATATCCCGTAATTGCTGAGATATCATCATCCGTTAAAGTTGAAGGACGCACAGATATTGTTAAAATGAAACAGAAAGTTATAATGAGTGGATTGAAATATCCTTAGAAAGGTTTGGATCCCATACTTTTGCACATTATTAACAATAGTTACACGCACTATTGCAGTTTAGGGTACAAATACCATTAACATAGCGAATACTATGAGTTTTCAAGCTTAAGGTGAAGTTATCTCGAAAAAAGGAAGAAGATATGCCAGGTGGTAAGCCTTTATTTTAAAGTTTACAGAGTGGGTTTTAGATTATATATACAGTTGCCTTGCCGCTGCTATAACGTCTCAAAAAGGCCCTAAATTGCCGTTTCTTAAACGTCAGGATACAATATTTTATATTCCAGATATGATAGAGAAAATCCATTAAAAAGTTTAACTTGGTCTCAGGTTTCGACATATAGACTAGACTATATAGACCGTAAACTAAACTACAGACTAGACTATAGATTCGACTATTGACTGAAACATAGACTAGATTATGGACTAGACTACTGACTAAGCTATAGACTACATTAGATCATAGACTAAGCCATAGGCTTGAACTATAGACTAGATTATAGGTTATACTATAGACTAGACTAGACTAGAATATAGACAAGACTATAGACTAGACTATAATCCAGACTAGGACTACACTATACAGTAGACCATACACTAGACTTTAGACTAGATTAAAGACTATAGACTACACTATTAACAAGACTATAGACTCGACTATGGAATATACTATAAACTAGACAATAGACTCAATTATAGTCTTAACTATACACTTACGTATAGACTAGAGACTACACCATAGAGTAGACTGTAGACTAGACTTTAGACAAGACTATAGACAGGAATATAGACCATGCTGTACACTAGACTACTATACAAACTATATACTAGACTAGACTATAGACTAGACTATAGACTAAACCATAGACTAGACTATAGACTAGACTATAGACTAGACTATAGACAAGACTATAGACTAGACTATAGACTAGACTATAGACTAGACTATAGACTAGACTAAGACTAGACCTAGACTAGACTATAGACTAGACTATGAGACTAGACTATAGGACTAGACTATAGACTAGACTATAGACTAGACTATAGACTAGACTATAGACGACTAGACTATAGACTAGACTATAGACTAGACTATAGACTAGACTATAGACTAGACTATAGACTAGACTATAGACTAGACTATAGACTAGACTATAGACTAGACTATGACTAGACTAGACTACTAGACTAGACTATAGACTAGACTATAGACTAGACTATAGACTAGACTATAGACTAGACTATAGACTAGACTATAGACTAGACTATAGACTAGACTATAGACTAGACTATAGACTAGACTATAGACTAGACTATAGACTAGACTATAGACTAGACTATAGACTAGACTATAGACTAGACTATAGACTAGACTATAGACTAGACTATAGACTAGACTATAGACTAGACTATAGACTAGACTATAGACTAGACTATAGACTAGACTATAGACTAGACTATAGACTAGACTATAGACTAGACTATAGACTAGACTATAGACTAGACTATAGACTAGACTATAGACTAGACTATAGACTAGACTATAGACTAGACTATAGACTAGACTATAGACTAGACTATAGACTAGACTATAGACTAGACTATAGACTAGACTATAGACTAGACTATAGACTAGACTATAGACTAGACTATAGACTAGACTATAGACTAGACTATAGACTAGACTATAGACTAGACTATAGACTAGACTATAGACTAGACTATAGACTAGACTATAGACTAGACTATAGACTAGACTATAGACTAGACTATAGACTAGACTATAGACTAGACTATAGACTAGACTATAGACTAGACTATAGACTAGACTATAGACTAGACTATAGACTAGACTATAGACTAGACTATAGACTAGACTATAGACTAGACTATAGACTAGACTATAGACTAGACTATAGACTAGACTATAGACTAGACTATAGACTAGACTATAGACTAGACTATAGACTAGACTACAGACTAGACTAGACTAGACTAGACTATAGACTAGACTATAGACTAGACTATAGACCTAGACTACAGACTAGACTATAGACTAGACTAGACTAGACTATAGACTAGACTACAGACTAGACTATAGACTAGACTATAGACTAGACTACTAGACTAGACTGATAGACTAGACTATAGACTAGACTATAGACTAGACTATAGACTAGACTATAGACTAGACTATAGACTAGACTATAGACTAGACTATAGACTAGACTATAGACTAGACTATAGACTAGACTATAGACTAGACTATAGACTAGACTAGACTATAGACTAGACTATAGACTAGACTATAGACTAGACTATAGTTATAGACTAGAATATAGACTAGACTAAACTGTATACTAGACTATAGAATATAGACTAAACTGTAGACTATAGGCTAAACTAAATGCTAATCTATATACTAGACTATATGATAGGCTATATGGTCTATTGACTGTTACGTGGACTACTTATCAAAATTTTAAAAAAGTTTCAATTAATAACATCGTTATTAAAATCTTAATTACGTTTTCCCCTAAAGTTAAGAAGAATGAAAAAAAAAATAGTAAGCAATTTTTCTTTCTGTGTATGCCAACCATTACATTAAGCCTTCTATTTATGTATATTATTACAAATACATCTACATATAAGCATTATTAATAACATATAAATTTTTTATTAAATTTCGCTATTTTCGTTATCAATGTCCCCCTTTTTGATTGTCGACATAATGTTAAAAATTTTTAGCCACACATGTTGCATCAATACAAACATCAAGTATTGCAAACAGCAACGACAACAAAAAAAAAAAAAAAAAAAGAAACATTGGAAAAAAGCATAAATAATTTGACTCAATATACAATAAATTGAATACACTCCATTAGAGCTCCTTTCTCAATTAATTTGTGGTTTATCAATTTAATTTACATTTGTTACGGCTACTACTACTACTACTATTACACTGCTACCCTGGGTCTGGACTATTTAATATTGAGTACATTCATGTATGTTTGTCTAGAGTGTGTATTTTAATGTGCATGTGCAACCAGTACTCGGCATTTATACATATTTGCAACAATTTGTGGTACATAACGTTTTAAAAT